GGAAAACTCCATTTGATGAGTCTGATGCAGAGATTACTGAACTATAGCAGAGATAGTCCCTCACAGATATTTGAAGTATTTGTGAGTCATGCCGTAATGTTGGTGGTGAAAATAGTCTGATATGGTCAACCCAAGTGACGAAGTCAACTTGTTGTAGCCATAAAATTGAGTGAATGATCAGTTAGTGACCATACGAGGTTCGTATGACATATTCAACAAGAAAGATCCAGTAGTTTGTTTGATCAGCTTTGTTGGTTGAGTGAGTAATTTGAAGGTATGGTGATCATGTGATAAATTCAAGCGTTTCTTGTAGTGTAACGTAATTAGAAGATTATGTACAACGACAGAGGGATAAATAGTCATGTGATCACAACAAACGCCTTTGGTAGTGAGATGTGAACATATTAAATCGTACGTAAATACTAGAAGCTATAGATATGATCGCACAATAATCTCAAACGTATAACTTAATCAGAATATCATACACGATGATTGAAGGGTAAGTATGGTGTGACATAATCAGGATACTGGATCTGATGAATAAAAGATCCCAAAGATTTCTGTTGGTGTGAGGAACACAAACATATATAATTCGTGGCGTGAGGGTAATATGATCTTTGAATAGTGTGACATAATCAGGATACTGTATCTGATGAATAAATGATCATAAACACTTCTGCTGGTGTGATGAACACAAAGATATATAATTCGTGGCGTGAGGGTAATAGATCTTTGAATAGTGTGACATAATCAGGATACTGTATCTGATGAATAAATGATCATAAACACTTCTGCTGGTGTGAGGAACACAAAGATATATAATTCGTGGTGTGAGGGTACGCATGATCACACGATTACCACAAGTGTTTTTGGTTAAAACATATATGACAAAATAAAGTACACTACGAGCAAGCACGATGTCAATATGGTCAGTTGTGTAACTTATAATGTTGACTACACGAGCAAGCACGATGTCAGTATAGTCAGTTGTGTAAGTTACAATGTTGACTACGAGAGCGTTTATTGTACATTATTTCAGATCGTTTTGGAGGGTCAGCTCTACCAGTGTCATCATCATTTTTAAGGCAATAAAATAATTGGTTTGACATGTTGAAATAAACAGCCAGATGATCACTATTATAAGTGAAATACGTCTGACTGAAGATCCACCATGATATATATCTATCTTTTTGTAAAACCTTTTGTTACTTGGAAAAACATTTTACCGTTCAAGAACTTTTTGTTTACCTCCTGGCATGAAAGGAAAGATCACGCCAAACTAACTTTGTATAATATAGTGTTGTAAATAAAGTTTCACCAACAGTTTCCTTCTAGTGAAGAGAAGAGGTGGAAGAAGCTGTGCGATGTATTGGAAGCATTTTCACTACTTGATTGTTTGTTTACATGAAGATTTGTTGTTAAAGTTGCACGTCATCGGTGAATCATTTTCCCCAATATTGTTCAAAATTAAAAAGATATACCGGTTAGAAGTTTTGAACACAACATTTCATTAGTGTTCCGTCGATCGTTATAGATCATAGGATGTGGCATATGAACACGCTCACAACTCCAAAGTTATACATGATATTTTGTTTTGACGTCAGAAGAGTTTCCAGACTTTTTATTGTAGAAACGTTAATCAATTGCACACGTCATCGGTCAGCTTTTACTACCAAACTCCAAAAACGATGAAACGTTAACACGTGGCACGGTACAACAAAAATAACAGAATTGAGAGAAAAAGCTGTATCAGGGTATTTGCTGTGAATAATACACAACTTGTATGTCATCAGAATAAAACATTTGAATTTTTAAATATTTATACATCTTTCACGGTAAATTTAGTTTCGTTATGTTTTCCAAACATAATTTATAACATCTGTTGTGTGGACAACAATCCAAGACTTTCCAAGCAATCCATAACTTCGCACAGTTGCGAAAACTTCAAGTTTTCATCCAACTATATCAATTTTTTTCATATTTAAAGTTAAAATAAACAATTTTAATAAAGGACGTTTCGGAATTGCTTAAAATTTCCATCATCATCGTTAAAACCTCTAAAAATTACTTCACAATATTCTAACTACAAAACAACATTAGCTTTTGAGCCTGAGTTTTGGTATTCAATCGGAAGTTTAGAAGGAACATATTTAAACAGTAACAATGTAATATAATTTTGTTTGTTTATCTTGACAAGTAAAACTGCAAAAAAAAAACGTCATCTAAATATACAAGCCAAAATACAGGCTTCTATAAGGAAGTAACTGTGGCATGTTGTTCTATATGATGTAAGAAAAGAGTGGCCAGAGTACCGGATAAAGGACTTCCCATGGCAAGTCTGTTTAACTGAAGGAAATATGAATCTCTGTATTGAAAGCAAATAAATGTGGCTATTAGATTCTCTTTTTGTGGTTTAAGACATTAAAGCTAGACATAATAACACTTTTGTCTAAACGATGTAAGTGTTTTAGGAAATCTGAAGTGAAACATGAGGTTACCAAGGTGGTGATTTAAAGAGTTATTGTTTGTTTGTTTTGAATTTTGCACAAAGCTACACGAGGGCTATCTCTGCGCTAGCCGTTCCTAATTTAGCAGTGAAACACTAGAGAGAAGGCAACTAGTCATCACCACGCACGCCAACTCTTGGGCTACTCTTTTTACCAACAAATAGTGGGATTGACCGTTACATTATAATGCCCCCACGGCTGAAAGGGCGAACACGTTTGGTGGGACGGGGATTCGAACCCGCCACCCACAGATTACGAGTTAAGCGCCATAACCACCTGGTCATGCCGGGCCCTTAAAGAGTTATAAGAAGACATAAGGTTATTCGTTTTTTTATGGACTTTTGGCAAACAGTAAACGTTTGTTGATCTTGGTTGATTTGTTGCAAAAAATTTTAAAGTTTAAAAGTAATAGTTTTTCTTTTAATTGTGATTTGAGCAATTTGCTCATTTTTTGCTGTATATTGTGTTAAGGTCAGTATTTGACTGAGTAAACTTAGACGAATCATTCAATATATTTACTATTAAGGAATCATACTGTTTGGTTGGTAGCCTCACGATAGACTTCATATTGCCCCCTAGTGGCACAGCGTTATGTCTAAGGACTTACAACGCTAGAAACCGGATTTTGATACCCGTGGTGGGCAGAGCATAGATAGATAGATAGCTTTGTGCTTAATTAGAAACAAACAAGCAAGCCTTTCCTATCGGGTCTTTAGATGACAGTGTTTTCGTTGTTTCTAAGACGTTTTAGGGCTTTTATTTCTGCATATGTAAAATTTTGTTTCCTAGGCTTCTTATTGTTTAGTATTTTCGAAGTTTTCTCACTAAATTCATCTAGGAAGGTTTTTTAATGGACCTGCTTTTGGTTTGATAACTGAAACTAGGAAGTTTTTTAATGGACCTGCTTTTGGTTTGATAAAAGCAGGTCCATTAAAAAACTTCCTAGTTTCAGTTCGGTTTGATAACGAAACTAGGATGGTTTTCTAATGGACCTGCTTTTGGTTTGATAACTGAAACTAGGAAGTTTTTTAATAGACCTGCTTTTGGTTTGATAACTGAAACTAGGAAGTTTTTAATGGACCTGCTTTTGGTTTGATAACTGAAACTAGGAAGTTTTTTAATGGACCTGCTTTTGGTTTGATAACTGAAACTAGGAAGTTTTTTAATG